TTAACTGAATCACTGTTTTAAAGTGTTGATCTCAGCCTCAAGAAAGTGATACATTTTTTCTCCTTAGACTCAAATAAGTTCAAAGTAAGTACAAAATGAAGCTTCAAACATTATTAATTATCAGAACCTAGACTGGACTGGAAGGGAGAGAAGAATGTAGCTAACACTTAATTGAGCACCTAGTTCATGACAGACACTGTGTTAGGAAGTACACATATGATATCTAGTATAATTCAGACATCACTATAAGAACAGGCGTTATAATGTCCAGTTTTAGAGATTAAGAAAAGGAGGACGAGCCCTGAAAGTTCAGAATTCCAAACGATTCACAGACCTAAAATGAAGACGTCCATAAGCTAATGAGATAGCCTCTTTCAATTCCTGGTTCCTTTCTGAATTCCCTACCCCCAAGACTTTAATTGGTGCTGCAGGAAGAACAACATGCCTGGAGCTACCTAGTTGCCTATAACGTATGATTTGAGTGATACTGAAAAAATCTCCAGGCTTATAAATATTTTCCCCCCAGTAGCTTTCCTTGATACCTGTAGTCTCCATAAGTTTTTGTCTAAGGAATTATATGATCATAATAAACTGCAAAAAATGATAACAATAATAATACCACCTAGTTAGAGAATTTAACCATAATGAACCCTTAACATCTTTGAATTAATTAGCTTAATAGGCAGAGGTTAAATTAGGCAAATAGGGCAGAATATGGAAGGGCCCATCAAAGCAAAATGGACTGTTGTCAAGGGCTCACCCTGAAGTTCACGGTCCTCATCCGGAGAGCATTCAAAAGCACCCATGTGGATGCTAAAGGGGCAGGGGTTTGGAGGAAACAACCCCCAAACCATCTTCTAATTCATAGTTAGTCTACATTTGACCTTGACTCAATGTTAAAGACAAGGAAATTGAATTTGGTGAAGTTTATTATTAAATAGTCTAAGGCAGCGGTCCCCAAGCTTTTTGGCATCAGGGACCATTTTCATGGAAGACAATGTTTCCCCAGACCAGTGCGGGGATAGTTTCAGAATGATTCAAGTGCATTGCATTTATTGTGCATTTCATTTCTATTATTACACTGTAATACATAATGAAATAATTATACAACTCACCATAGGTTTGGGACTCCTGGTCTAAGGAAATGTTCTAATATGGCCCAGCTGAAAGTGACTAAAAGTGCCTGAGTGCCCGCCCCATTGCAGACCCTTCCTTAAGTGCCCCGTTTCTCCAGCATTCCATATCAAAATTCATTATTTTTAAGCAAAAGATTAGATTCTTGCTTCATATTTTTTAAAATTTTCATTTTACTCTTCCATGAACAGCAACTTTTCATGCAAATGAATTCTTGGTTATTTGAAGATCATTAAATAACTTCCCCACATCTAAAATCCTCCTCCTAAATGTTAGGTATGAGTGATTATTTATGTTACATCACACACAAAAAATAAACAACAAAGACCCCACTCACATTTGAGAATCATTTACTATTCCAACTCCCCAAGCTCCCCCAAATGGGAAATGGAATAACAAGACTGATCATAATTGGATTAAGAACCATAATTCTTTAATTCATTCATCAAATTGAGGCATTTGGAACAGTTTATTTACAGAGTTGTTTAGACAGTTTTGTGTGGTGTTTTTTAAGATAAACCAAAATGCCTTTCTGAAATAAGTTTCAGATCCCAAATCATTAACATATGAAAACCAAATGTAGACAATTTACAAATGGGTGTTTTAAAACAATGTTTGGAACAAAATTGGACTTTCATTTTATTAACTATCTACAAATCTAAATTCAGGATATAGTTTATTTGAAACAGCCAAGCACTTTCTTCGCCTTTAAAATAAATCTACAGTTCTCAGACTAAAAAATTGTGACCAGTGCATGAGGGAATGCATTTGACTTTAGGCCTAGACAAATAAGTTTCCAGGTCACTCTCAAAACTGTAATTATAGCATTTTCTACCACTGGAGTTGATCGGATATTGGGTGGATCACCCAGGTTATGGCAATCAATCTTATCCAACAATTATACTTGCCGGAAATCTAAATCAGCATTAGAACTTAGTTACTTAAAATGCAATGTATTTTGGGAGATTATTAAACATAAGCCTGCAAGTTTATATATATATATATATATATAATCTGAACATAGCTTCAAAGAAATTATTGCTTCTTGCTTGGTAAAAGAATAGAGCTTTTGCAAGAAGACGGTACATTCTTGTAAGCATTGTATCATATTTTTAAATTTCTTTATAAGAAAAAAATTCTTCAAGCATTCAAATTCATTCCTTTAATGGGAAAAAGAAAATTTGAAAATTTAAACTCTTCTTATAACTCATACCTTACCTACCACAAGGATAAAAAAAAAAAACAGAATCTGTCATACCTGAGTATAAATTTCACTCTTATGTTATTCACTATTTACTATATTCCATAGATAGCAGCTTTCTAAGTGCATATTCATTTTTTTCTTCTACAAAACCACGTGTCAGTCTAAACAGGATGTGCATTTAGATGATGCCTGGTTATTTACCAAAGAAGTTTGGGAGTTTTGAATCCTGTATACAACATGCCATTCAACCAGAACTGTTTAAGCTGAACGACAAAACTAATACAGGGTTTTCTGTATTAAGACCTGAAGCTTGTTTTCTTGCATTAAGAGTTTACACTTTCAAGTTTGTGTCAGATTGGATCAATACTGCCCATTCAAAAAGGCTACAAAAAGAAATTTTTTTTAACCCACAAGCAAATAAAAAACTCTTGATTCTTCATGTACAAGGTTGTTAGAAGACCACTAGAAAGAAAGAGAAAAAAAAGAAAGAATTTCAAGCGAGTATGCTACTATATAATTAACACAAATAACTAAATAATTATGCACATCCCTTCCCACCCCCACAATTAAATGTTTTTAAACAACTCATGTGATGAAAGATCTACCTTTTAGGCAAACAAAAGCAATCCCTACCAGTTTAAGGATTTAAGGCTGTATTGCATCAGTTTTAAGTGATGCTTATGATTTTTATCTTGTATAGTTCTGAGGAATAAACAGTTGATGGTATAATTTGCAGGAGAACTTTGCACAATGCCTAAGAGAACTTTCAGTGTAAGTACTTATGATTTTAAATCATTGTGGCTGAATTTATCTAGGCTTCAGCCTGGGAGCTATATTTAAATCAGGAAGAAGCACCCCTAGAAACTTTGTTCCATGTATCTGCATTTGAAACCAGATTCCTTCCCTATCTGAGCTAAGAGCAATTCTCATACAGCTGAATTCCTTTAAAATTAGACAGATCAAAATTTAGCAGTTCTGTAAAGACTCTAAGAAATCGTCCTCCTTTTAAATGCTATAAAAGTCAAACTTAAAAAACATTTCCGTATACTTTAAAACCATCTGGCCCTTAACCTAATCACTCTTGGCAATCAAGCCTCACTCCTGTAATCCTGATCAAAAATTTTCCTCTGGTTTTTCTGATTGAAATGTCCATTGCCTACAAATCTCCCACAAGACTACTTCATTGGTGTGTGTGTGTGTGTGTGTGTGTGTGTGTGTGTGTGTGTGTATGAGGATACTAAGGAACATTATTTATGGAAAGCAAGGAAACAAATCACTCTGTCTAGTCCCTTTGCAGATTCCCACACTTATTATCCAAAATCCCACAGATTTCTCTTGGTCTTGCCCTTGACTAAAGAATTGTGCTGAGCCTGAAGGCAGTCCCCAGGGACATCTCCTCATGCCTTTCATGACAAACTCCTTTGGATATGTGGATATGGTGAGGATCTCAGTTGGGTTAGAACAAATCCCTAAACTTCTGTGAAGAAGTACAGCTGGACTGTCACCCAGAGTGCCTAGACTGGCTGGCACTGAGGGTAGGGCTCCGCGTGTTCACGGAATTCCTCGTTTTGACCTGCTTTAAGCTGAGAAGGGAAGACATACACATGAATTCACATTCATCACACTCCAAATTTAGTCACAGAAACCAACGTCTTCGGATATCCACCGGGGTCAATCTATTTATTAATATATCCGCTTTGCAAAGTGTAAAGGAAATGACTATTAAAATATGTAAACAGTGCTTCGTGTGCATCTAGACGCCAGCAGATCAATACTCAGCAAACTGCTGCTCTCAAACGCAAACATTTCCAAATCCAATTTGATTTCAACTCGTATAACCTTTTTTCATGGCTTCTTATTGCTGTGGCCCCAAAGTGCCATCGAGATTTCCCAAACCCGCGCTTAAAGTGACATGACACGTGAGTGGTCTTCACTTTGTAACACAGGCTGAGGGGGGGCGGGGTGGGCAAAAAAAGTAGTTGCAATTAAAATTAAAGCTTCCGGTCTCTGAGATCCCTAGAATCCTCAAGGATGAGACTTGTTTCCCAAATTCCGGGCAGGAGTGGGGGGGAGGGAGTGGTAGGGAGAGAGGGACTGCAGAAAGCGAAACGAAAAGACGAAAAGGGGGATTATTAAGGCTGTGGGGTGGTCTGGGGGTCGCGTTCATATTCTAGGAGGGCTCAGGGGCTTTGTCCAACTTTTAGGGTCTGTCCCTTAGGCTTTCGCCGAGATGCCCAGACCCGCACTCGCGCCCTCACCTCGCATCGCCACCTCCACCGCCACCGCTTGCAAAACAATAACCGGCAACAGTCCGCAGGCTTCCCAACAAGCATATAAAGTTATCACCCCGCTCCCTGGTCCGGGTCCAAGGCCACACTCCAGGGTCCCCCGGACAGCCGCCCCCCGAGGCTGACCGGGCCACCTCGAGCCCCGAGCCGCCTCCCGCCTCTGCCTCACCCCCAGCCCAGTCCCCCTCCCTCTGTACTTGAGGAAACTCCGCGGCGGCCCCCTCCCTCCCCGCCGGTCTCCAGCTGGAGCCGGGAGCGAGCGCTGAGTGGCGGGCCCGGCGAGCGGCAGAGGGGAGCTCTGCGCCTTGGAGGTCTGCCCACAACAACATCGGGACGAACAACAAAGTTAAAACGCTGCGATTCACGCACCTTACCCGGTCTCGTTAACGTCTCCTCCGGCGTGGCATGCAAAGTGGCACGGTGGCGGGCTGGGGGCCCCCGGGAGGAGACTGGAGATGGGTTTTGGTGGCTCGCCTTTTCCACTCTGTGTGTGTGTGTGTGTGTGTGTGTGTGTGTCTGTGTGTGCGCGTGTGTGCCGGTGTGTGTGTGTGCGCGCGCGTGTCCCTCTCGCCTGCCCGCTCGCTCGCTCGCTCGCTCCCCGTGTCGCTCTCAAGGACGAGGTGAAATCCCTTTGCTGGTCATGAGGCGGCTTCGGAGACAAACAACACAATGCGAGTGCAAATAACAAAAGGCAAAAAGACAGTAGGAACAATGGGGGAGGCGAGGGCAGCGCACCAGCCGGCGGTCACCGCGGCCCGCGCCCGCCCCGGGAGGGGGGTGGGGGTGCGGCGGGGGCGGGCGCGGGCGCGGCGCCGGGGACTCCCGCTCCCTCCAGGTCGCCCCCGAGCTCCCGCAAGCCCACCCTGACCTCCTTCCTGCAGCTCGCCGCCCGGCCGCCCTCTATCCATCCGAAGGGAACGAGCTGCCCAGAGTTTTCTTCCCCGTCTGCAGCGGAGTAACTAGATTGTAAATAACGCGGTGATTACCCACACGGTGCAGGAATGCTTAAAAAAAAAAAAAAATCTGCCCTCCACTTAAAGGAGCGATAAAATGCAATGGCAGGCTTGGAAGGAGGCAGGGAGAGTGGGATATCTCTAGATCTCGGTGGAGCTCGCATCTATAAATACGCATTCGTGTTTAGTCAAGTCCCTTTGTCAACTTCTTCCCCGCGCCCGAGCCTCACCCGCTGCCCCGCAACCGTGACCCGGGCCCTTGCTCGCCCCGCACCCCGCTTTGCAAACAGGGAGGCTCGCAGGCGGGCGCGCGCGGGGGGCTGCGGGGGGCTGCGGGGTCCGCGGCACCTCTGGGGAGGCCGGGCGCCGTCCGCCCTGCGCGGAGCCGGAGCCGCCGGAGGCTCGGCGGGCACGGCCACCACTGCCGCCCGGAGCCCGGCGCTGCGCCGCGGGTCCCCGCCGCCGCCGCCGCCGGCACTTTCGCTCCCACCTACTCCTTGGGGGGTGGGGGGGAGAGAAAAGTTTTGAGGCGCTCTCATCCCTGCCTCCCGGGTGGTTGAACTGGTTTGGTTTTGTGTGAGTGCAGCAAAAAGCAAAAAAAAAAAAAAAAATAACAACAACAAAAACCCAGACAAAACAAAACCCAGTGCCCAGGACCCGGGGAATGGTATTTAGGGGAAAACAAGGCTGCGTGCTGGGCTTTTCGACTCGGGCTGCGGCGACACTGGAGTCGGTGCGTGCGGCGCGGAGCGAGCCCCTCCGAGGTGCAGCGGCACGAGAGCAAACTCCGGAGGTGATGCCCCGAGCAGAAGCCGCGGGCTGATTTAAGTGTGCGCTCTGACAGCTCCCGGGCTGCTCGGCCGCTTATCTCCTCTCCTCTTACTTTCATTGACTTGAAACAGCTGCCGGTTTGCCAGGGGGGGAAAAAAATCCTATTAAATCTGAAACCAGGGCGGGGCGGGGGCGACGGTGCCTGACAGTGATCTTCCTGGAGCTGGAGTCCAGGAGGGGGCGGGGTGGGGGACAGGGATTCTCGGGGGAGGGGGGGAGGCTGCGGGTTTGGAAGAGGGTGATGGACTCAGAGAAACAATTCGAGCAACACGTTTCTTTCCCTCCCTGCAGCCTTCTCTTCTTGCTGTATGCCGATGTGCGTGTCCCCTTTCCCCATCGCTGCAATTCTCTCCAGGACGCGCAATCCATTGACTGCGCCGCGTCCCCGGACACCCCCGGCGTTTCCCAGAGTGCAACAACAGCGCCAGGAGATCAATGACCACAGTCTGTTTATTCTTCACGCGCCCGGAAGAGCAGAGCGCCGGAGGAGCTTGGGAGCGAGGCTCGCAGGGCGTGCTTGTCCCTGTGCGATCTCTCTCCGGGACTTTTCCAGGCTGATTTCTAAGCGGCAGTTAGGAAGCAAATATAGTTTCTGAATGCACGCAACACATACCGATCACAATGTATTCGCCTAGGGAAGTGACACATCCTTTCTCCCCCTCCCCACCCCCCTTTTCACCCTTTGGAGATCTGTTTCAGGGGGGTGGGTTGCTAATACCTGAGATTTTTGCACTTGTCTAGGGCGGAAACTTTTTGGGGTGTTTGACGATTGATTATTTGATACCTGTTTTCTAAAAATGGCTGAACACCTTTCCCTGGAACGAAAGTGAGAATTGCAAATCTTAATAACTCAAGGCAAAATTTTCAAAGTGTAAAGCACAGTTATTATCCATTCCCACAAAGAAAGGCTTCCTCTTACACAAATATTTGATAGCATAGAGCCCAGTAATTAAGAGAACAATCAAATAAGCTTGGGGCTTTCATGGGGACTTTAAATTATCATCTGCCTAGAATTTATAAGCAGTGTAATCGTTTGCTGCTTGGGTATAGCTCTGGATATGGTAATCTAATTGTGTATCCTTAAACAATTTTACAATGTTTTCTTAGGTGTTTAATGAGAGAGACTATGGATAATGATAATATTTGAACTGGTTCCATGTGGCCTCACCAACTGTGTGAAAAAATTTTGTGTGTGCATGAAACATCTTTCTTATATGTTTCTTTTCCTTACAGTTCCTCTATCAGGTAAGTTTCAAGTTGGAGCCACTTGCTTATATAGTATAAGAATTCATCAGTAATTGTACTCTAGTGTTACTTTTATTCTAAAGAGTTCTTGGCATATGTTGAATGGTTTATTCTCATAATGTATATGTAGTTGCTTTTCAAAAGTAACTTATTACTGTGTCAGGCCCAGTTCCTTAAATAATGTACAAGAGGCAAACTACAAAAAAAAAAAAAAGTTGTCCCTCACTTCTGATGATATGAAAATACATAACATTTGAGAAGTGATTGTCATTTGCAGTGAACATCCACTGGATTTTAATCCCTTTCTCTCAGGCCATACCCAGTGAAGAAAAAAGGCAGAGTGAGTCCTCTTCCCCTGGGTCTCTGGCCAATTGGTGACAAACGTGCCCGCTTGGCCACTGAGCAGAGCAGTGGTGTCACCTCCTCAGGAATTCAGCTTCTCTTGCTTCTTCGGTGAAACAGCTTCTGGGGCAAGCAGATCGCCTCCTGGCAGGAGAAAGGAGGAAAGGAGGTTGAGCAGAAGAGGGAAGGAAGAGAGGGAGAGAAGGCATGAAGTTTCAAACGGCCTAGTGAGATATTGGTGAAACTTGAGTTGTAGCAACCTCAGCTCTCCTTTTGCTCCTACAGGCAGCCTGACTTCCAACCACTTACGTTTATGGAAACCACATGCCATTAAGACTAAACCATGATCATTATACAGCAACAGCATAACTGATCAAAAACTTCCAGTGGGATGTTTTTTGGTGTTGAGCTTAAAAAAAAAATAATACCCACATTCAAAGTGGGACTGACTTCCTATATATCAGCATTTCCATTTATCAAGTATTTACTTACTCAGTATTAGAGTTTTGGCCAAGTGCTTTTTTGTTTGTTTGTTTGTTTGTTTGTTTGTTTGTTTGTTTGTTTGAAATGTGTTGGTCTCTCCTTCTCACCACAAACACACCAGAAACGTTATATCCCTGTTCTGCAGGTGAGAGAACTAAAGCTTAGAAAGGTCAAATGACTTGCCCAAGACCACGCAGTTTTTAAGTGCTTGCACCAGGATCCAAATCCAGACTTGTTCAGCTTCCAGCCCGTGTTCTTCCACTTCCACCCTGATGCCACGTGCACTTTTTAGTAGAGCCAGTCTTCAGTGGGAAATATTATTTCATTACATTGATAGGGATAATATGCCAAATTTATACCATGCTCATTCCAGACATGAACTATGTTGGTATTCTCACACATGTTGGTCATTAGATAACCGTGCAATTTCCAAGAAAATCTAAATGTGCCATACACAGAGTATACATATGTATCATATATTAAATATTTACTATAAAAGTTGTTTAGCAATATATATGAAATTGTGTTATCTTATAGGCTAGGCAATCATGTATCATATTAATAAATACATATGTATATAGCCACATAATATATATAATAACATATACAATATATTGTTAAATAGCTAGGTTTTTAAGTCCTATAATTTTATAAGCATTGCTATCGATGCTTTATGTGTATAAACTTATTTAATCCTCACAGCCACCCCATGAGGTACATAATGTTATTATATCATTTTACGGATAAGGAAATTGAAGCCCAGAGAGGTTATGTAACTTGCCCAAGGTTATACAAGTAGCAGGTGATAGAGGCTGGCTTCAAACACAAGTAATTTAGCTTTAAGACCCATGCCTTTAACCACTCTGCTATACTGCCTTTCAATGTATATATTCAGGCATATATACAGTATACATGCATAAATTCATAGACAGATATATACTGTATACAGCTCTTAAAATATGGGGAAAAATAAAGGCATATAACTGAGCTCTGTATCATCTATGTCCCTATACCCTAGTTGCCTCCTAAGGCAACTAAAAATATTTGGTGGGACAGGGCCTTACATTTGCCCTCAGTATTCAAGATTCTCTAAACATTTTTGAGATCATCTCAATCCCTTCAATATTTTTGGAGATATTAGGGAAGTGCAGGAGATATTAGGAGTATATAATATTTGATCTTAGCCTATTTGCCTGAGGTTTATTTTGAATTTACTTGGCCATATATATTAAAAATAGCAAAGACAAGTTACTTGGGAATCTAAAGAAGAAAGACAGTGATCCTAATAAACATGAAAATCTATGACTGAAGAGGTTGAAGAAAATTTAGGTTATGCAAGAGACCGAATATGTCATCTTGATGGTTATGGATTATCCATTTTTTAAAAATTAGGGTAGTTTGTCAACCCTCACTCCATTAACAAAAAAGTAATATAAAATTTTGATTTAAGGTTAGCAATTATGGACCCAAACACTGATACCCCTCAAAGGAATCTTAAAATATATCCTAAGAATCCCAGATATATAAATGGTTTGTTTATCCCATGTCTGTTTTTACCTGTCTTACCAAACACAATGTGCATATCAAATTCTGGAAGTGAGCTTCTGCAAACCAGCTAGCTTTGAAAAAGTATTCTGAGATTTTCTTCTTTCCTTCTCTTCCAAAATATGATATAAGGGATTATCTTAGGAAGAAGAAATAACTGACAATAATCTTCCTTGGGCATTCTTAATCCTAGTAACACCTGAGATACAGACATCTAAACTATTAACTTTCCTGGGTCTAATGTACCTCTTTGGAAAAACTGAAAAAGACACCCTATACCTAACAGATGCCACACATTAAGCTGTTACTGAAAAAAACTTTTAAAGCCCTATTACAGATACATATGTTTTCAT